ATTGAAAAGCATAGTAATGGCTATCTTTTTACTCAAGGATCTCAGAATATTTCACAAACACAAATTCATTAGTCTATCAACAAAGATGCTCCCCAGCTCGACCCAGAAAGTCAAGTTGTTTTCCCATCTATGTGCCATGGTGAAGATGAGATGGCTTGCAAAAGCCCATTCAAGAGATTGTTTTTGAAACAAAATTCTTAATTGTGATAAAATTATAATAACAAGAGACTGACCATTTTTGCCACTTTCTAAGTGTTCTGTGGTGGTTAGTACATTCACTACCATCCAGCTCCTGAATTTGTTTCTGTCTTCCCGAACTGAAACTCTGTACCTGTTAAGCAATAACTTATTTCTCCCTCATTCCAAACAGAGGCACTTACCATTCTACTTTCTCTGTATGAATCTGGCAGCTCCACAGACCCCCATATATGCGGAATCATGTATTTGTCCTTTTACATCTGGCTTATTTTACTTAGCTTTGTATCTTCCAGATTCATCCAGCATTTTCTTCCTTTTTAAGGCTGAATAATATTCCATGCTGTATGTGTGTGTTATATTTTATTTATTCATTCTTATGTTGATGGACATGTAGGTTTCTTTCACCTTTTGGCTACTGTGAATAATTCTGCTATGATCATGTGTATACAGATGTATTTTTCAGACCCTACTTTCAGTTCTTTTGAGTTGCATCCAGAAGTAAGATCAATGACTCATAGGATAATCTATGTTGAACTTTTTAAAAAACCATCATACTGCCTAAGGTGCTGCACAAAGCCGGGACAGCGTACCAAGAGAACAACTGTCAGACCTCACCCTAGCTCTAACTCGTGTGCCCAAAGAGCCACATTATCCCTCAGCTCTGTGGAGGCACTCATGGGGGTCCCCAGAAGCAATAAAGATATTGTAACCAAATCAATCAGCATGACTCCAGGAGACCAGTGACCAGGGAATGCACCTCAATCTTCTGTGCTCTCTGAGACCATTTATCATTATGATAGCTTAGGTCACATTGTCATTTGATTTATTCTTTAAACAGAACTCCTCCTCCTGCCCCCTGTGCCATGACTTTCTTTTTTCACCTCTTCCTGTGGTCTGAATTCCCTCACTCAGTTAATTAGCAGGCCTGGCACTGTAGCTTAAGACTTTAATCAGCGTGGGGTGGTTTTAATTAATCGTGTGACTCTGCATCTGGAGTGGTTTGTGTTCTAGGGTCAGGAGAGGAGCCCAGGTGGGGGATGGAGAGAAAGCTTTGTTTGATGTAAGATGTGGACAGAGAATCTAGATATTTGGGGAGAGACAGAGTCAGAGGGGTGAGGTCAGGTGGCTCAGAAGCCATCTGGTCACCTAGCAAAGTGTGGAAGAAAATGAAAGGCATCAGATTGTACATTTGCAGCAAGATAAATGACTGGACTAAATTCAGTTTTCAAAAGTGATTTGAAGTATTAGCAAAAGCTCTATTGCCTTCCATAGTTACCCAGGGCCAGGGTTGCAGGACTTTGCCTGTTAGAGGGAATTGCAAGATCTTGGTTGTCTTGGTCTTTCTTGAAGAGGTCCTCAAAAGAGGAGGGATGTGGCACCTCACTCCCAAATAATGATATTTCTTCTCTTTGGCTTGGGAGAATTCCTTTGTGGCTCCCTAGTTTTAGTATTCATGCTTTAGAAAATGTGGGGGAAAACCTACATCAGGTTCAGAAGAAAGTAAGAAAAACAATGGGATAAATAGATAGAACATGCAAGAACATTAAAAAAAAAAACAGTTGGACTCCTTGCCTTTGGAGTGATTATCTTCAGGGGGTGTGTTTTCTCTGAAGTGGTGTGAGGCCATGATTGTATGGGTCTAACACCAAACAAGGTAGATCTAGCCTGGGGATTAAAAAGAATCTAGAATGTCCAGACTGAAAGAAAGTTTTAAATCTAGCCTGCCAGACCCTCATGTACAGATGATTAAACAGAGGACCAGAGAGACAGATTCAAGTTTCTGTGGCAGCTGAAGGCAAAGGTGCAGCTAAAACGTGGCTCTCATAATGACCACCCAACACTTGCGCCCTATCTCACTAGACACATCTAGAGGAAGTTGAAAAGCAATGTATCGCTGTCACAGGAGCTGATGAAGGTACTGCATAATTCTGGAAGCTCAGATAACTGAGTTTTGTCACCAGCGTTTTGTTATAAGGGATGAGTGATGAATAGTGTAAGGGTAAATTCCATAGTTTAAAGGGGAAATGATGCAAACAAGGTACTAAAGAAGAAGAAGGCTTCCAGGCCTATCCAACTCCCAGTGAGTTCATGAGGCCTTGGAAGACTCTCAGAGCAGCTCTCAGGTGTATACCTGAAAAGTAAAGTGACACTGTAGAGGAATGGAATACTGCTGCCAAAGACAGCGATGATAATAATCATTGCTTGTAAAGTGTGTAAGCATTTACAAAATGGTTTCATAATTGTGAGCTATGGAGTCCACTGAGCTTTGAGGAACTGAATTAGGGAGAACTTCGCTCTCTATGTTTAAGGGTAAGAAATATCAGACTCACAGACAACAGGCCCTCCTTGTTGGTAAATGGCTCAGCCAGGCCTTGAACCTAGCTCTGCAGGATCCTACACTCTTTCCAAGCAACCAGAGTGATTGCTATTTAAACTCAAGAGAGGAAGGATTTTATAATTCCTGTGTCTTGATATTATTAAACACCAGTTGCAAGATATTTTTAGAATGCAAAGGTTTGTGAGAGTTTCAAATTCACCAAGCAGCTGGCTCTTCACTTAAAATGGCACAGCTTGGAATCCTAGGGCACATTCCATCCAAGACAGATTAGAGAGCTGGTCAACAGGAGAAACTGGGGAGGATGTTAATTAAGTTTAGGCCAAGAAAATGCTTTTGATTGAACAAGCCATGGTTTTCTCTTTAAGCCCATGCAAAATATGGAGTGCCAGACAAGCAGCTGGAACATATGAAAACATTATTATGCACTTACAGTTCCAACTTTCACAATCTATGGCCTCTTTTATTATTTTTCCCCCTCAGGGCATCATGTTTTGAAAGATTGTGTCTACTAAACAAACTGTGTTTATTAAGTAATAATATATTTTGTATTTTTTAACACGGAGCACACATCATGAGCATGCATAAAAATATTAAAATAGCACCAACCCAATTTTTTATTAGGTTTTGGAAATATTGAAAGTAGCTGTGGACCTCATTCCTACTCATGAATTCCTAGGAGTCCGGGTCCTTTGGGTTGGGACTGCTAGGTATGTACTTACATGACTGACGCATCTAAGCTCACTTAAGGAGGACAGAGAAATTAAAGAGGCAAAAGAAATGGGTGAATTCCTCGCTGCATAAGGAGCCAGTGGAGTAATTCATAAGAAGCTAGTGATTGAGGTTCACTGTGAAGATACAAAGTCATGTATATAGCCAGGATCAGGCATGAGCCATGAAGATTATATGAGCAGTTGTAGAAGAAAAGATGAAATTCCAAGTGTGCCAAAAAGACATCAAGGAAAGGCAAAGGGCAAAACTGTAAAAACGGGAGGAAGAAACTAAAAGATAACTGGGAAGAGGTGCAAATACAGAGCAGTCATTAAGAAGGATGAATGTTTAGTCTGAAGAACTAAAAGATACATAAAAGGGATAAGAAAGTTAATGGGAAAAAGATCACATGGGGCTTAGAATTAATTAATAATTAATTCCAAAAGAGATTCGAGACTAATTGAGCGGGCTCTGGTGCCAGATTCCCTATGCACGAGTTACAAGTAGCCCCTGCCAAGTGGACATAATTTGATAGAGGCAGATGTCCTCTGAAACAGCAGGGACAACACAGCCTCTGCATTTGCTCACGAGCAGAGAGGACCTGGCCAGGTCAGCCCCATTTACAGACTTCTGTGCCTGTTGTCTGATGGTGAGAAACTGCAAATGATAACCTCATCAAATTCTCCTAGCTCTAGCTGAAAGACTAGGCAGGAAGTCTTCCACTAAGATAACAAAAATAAAGTACCCCAAATGGAAAGAATGATTTAAGAGAGAAAAAAATTGTAAAAAAGGAAACTGGCAAAATGCAGACTTAGTACTGCATACTAAGGCTATAAACAGAAAATAAAATTCTATTTGATCCCAAGAATCTTTATTAAGGACCTACTGTGTGGCAAGTACTGGGAATCATATAAAGAAACATCAAGGCAAAATTGCATTAGAGAACAAAGAAATTCAAAAGATATCTAAGAGCACACAGGAAATGGAAGCATTTGGGATAAGTAAAAATGTCATGTGGAACATTTTAACATTTTACAGTAACAAGCTGCTGGTGAAAGCTAATATACAGTTTTTGGGTTGGAGAAGAAACCTCTCAAGTCATGAAAAGGGCGTGGGCAGAGGGGGAAATAGCAAGGCTGCGCTGTGAAAGCACCATCATGAAAATGTGTAGAGCCAGTTGGGAGCCAGTTGGCCAACATTTTGAGAAGGAGAAAGAGGACAGGGAACAGTCGTGCAGTGAGTTAAGTACCTCGTGAAAAGGGCAAGAAGCAGCGGGAGAGAAACTCATGGTCTGGTCTGTATACTTTCTACATCAAAAATGCAGAGACTTCATGGAATGGCTAGAAAGAAAAGGAAGCACACTGGCAAGACTGAAGCAAAAGAAGGAGAAAGATGAACACTCTGGTTTACCGCATTGATGGGCAACAAATACATGATGGATTGGATGTTCACAGAGATATTTGGGGGTGGTGCGTGAAAGGAAATTTTAAAAATACATTGCATAAGTGTCATTTGTAACAATATGAACTCTATGGAGACTTTTAAGAATGTAGTAGAGGGTTGCACCTCCTGAAGGCTGTGTAGCCACCTGCTGTGATGGGCTCCCTCACTTCCTTCGGTTAGGGGCCTCTGAGCACCCTTGGTCCTTCTACAGCGTTTCAAATGATACCATGTTATTTAGCACAGCATCTCTTCCTGTAGGTGAGTGGCTGTTCAGCAGAATCGTGACCATTTTCTCCCTGTTGTGCTGTCCTAGCTCACCAGAGTCCCTGTGGAGTCCTGCAGTCAGTATCAGAGCTGTAGTGAGTGCCTTGGCTCTGGCGATCCCCACTGTGGCTGGTGTGTGCTGCACAACACGTGAGTACAGCCTCTTGTCTCCTCGCTGTGATCATCTTCCTCCTCTTCTCTCTCATCCCATTTCCTTCCTCCATTCTCTCTTTTCTCTTTCTCTCACTCTTTCTTTCTTGCATCCTTTGTATCTCCTCCCTTCTTTTGTTCTTTCTGACTTCACTTTAAGTTGTTCATTTCTCATAAGAAATGCATGGTGACAGACCAGGACATGCCTATTACACTGAATAATTACACCTTGCAGAGCCAAAGGAAGCGACATCCTGGGACTTTCCTCACAGTGATATGGCTGTACAATGTAGCTGGATGGGACTGTTTTGTTCTTAAGCTTCACATAGATCATGTCAGTATGTATTCTGCAATATAGGTGCTGTCTACTTAACATACCTCCTGGTTTCTCCATGTAATTTCCTGATACTTGGATGTGCAGGTCAAGAGTATATCACCTGAAGACCCTCCCTCTTCTGTCATAATACCCATCTGCTGACTGTCAATGCATTGTGCCCAGTGTCACTGGACCAAGGAAGCCTGCCCCAAGGGCTGGCATACCCAATGTACCCTCTCTTGTGCTGGCTCCATTGTGTTCTCTAGAACTCAGAGGAAATCAACAGTGTTATGGTAAATAAACCAAAGCATAGGTCATAGAGGACAGCTAGCCAGCCAAGAAATAAGAATAGAGGAGCTAAAGCCATTTTGGGAAGATCCAGAAACCCTTAGCGCTGCTGCCTAGACTTGACAACCATGGTTTGATTCCATTCCAGTGAAACTTGGTTCCAGCACAACTATTGCTTCATATCAGCACCTAAAACTATACTTTCCAAGTTAAATACACATTAAAATTAAGGAAAAGACTTTGATTTTCCTACTAAGAGCCTGAATACTCTGTGACCAATGGCATTTACCAGTAACTGTCAACCATAAGAAAGTGATAAGTAAGGTTCTTTTCTCTCCCCTCCCAAAGGAAAGAACACTCTCTTAAATTCTAAAAATTAGAAACCTCCTCCTAAATTCTAACATATCCTCTCTAAGAGGAGAGGCTCCTTCCTCATTTCTAATGACAATCTCAGGCATAAAGAGGACTTGAGTTCCTTAAGGGATAACTGGAGTCTTTCAGATATTTTTTGGTGGGAAGAAATGGAGAACCATTGAGCCACACTGCAATATACAAAACTCAGAGACAGAACAAAGATGGCTCTCAAGTTGACACCAAGGTTACATGGTAACCAAAAGTAGTGGCACCTAGGCATGGCCTGCCTAAGAGGCTGGCAAGACGGCTTTCAAAGTATAGATGGGCTCCCATCAGTCAAAAAGAGTCCCCTAGATGATGTTTTATAGGCAGGAAGAGAGTGTTTTTCTGTCCCACACAGGGAGACCTCTCAGAAAGAGATTGAGTTCCAAACCCAAAGCTGGATCCTCTCTGAGACTTTAGGTCTTCAGAATCCAAATGCAGGTTTCCATGTTTGCCCTGGTCTCTGCGGCAGTGCTGCTTTGGCCCCACATGTCACCAAGACCTGTGAGCCGCGGAGACATTGAGGCTCTGAGGAAGTGACAGAGACTCCTGTCCCCATAGCTGAGTTTAGTAGAAATGACAGGAGAAGACATTACTTCTTGTGTGTCCTCAGTTTCCTCTTCTATACCAACAGAAAAGAGGAGTAAGACAAAGGGCGAGCGTGAGTGGTTCTGAAAGCAGCCATCAGGCTGCCCAAGAAAGCTGCCAGGTCTCCTCTCAGTGTGGCATAAAGAAAACAGCCATGGACATGAACTGGGAGCACCTGTCACCAAATCTCAGTGCAAAGTCCTCCAGTGTCCTAGTCTCCTCACCTGTGACTTGGAGATGAGATGTCAGGTTTGCCCACTTCTCTGAGTGACAGGGATATCAACCAAGCACATGGGGCAAGACCCTGTGCTAAGTGACCCCGTCACTTATCAAGTGTCCCCAGCAAGTCCAGCCCTCAGGAAGATTAGAGAAGAGAACAGAGGAACAGATTCTGGAGGTGTGAAGGTCAGTTTATTTTCTCAGGTGCTTTGGCCAAGTTCCCCCATCACTGTAGACAGGAAAGGGATTGTAACATTATGGGAAGGGAAAGACACTGGGGTGTATGTGTGTGTGTGTGTGTGTGTGTGTGTGTGTTAGGAGAGACAGAAACAGACAGAAGAAAGCTCAGGCATCAGCAGCCTGAGGATGGGGCCTCTACCAACAGGTGGCCCTCGTGACTGAATGGGCTTTTGTACTGGTAAGGTCCCTGGGGGATTGCAGGCTGAACATGCTTAAGAAATGCTCCTGTAATTTAAACCCTCCTCCTGTTGCTCCCCTCTGTTTGTCCTCCCAGCCCAGCAGTGAGAAGCCTCACTGCTGCTGCTTTGCTCTGTAGCTCCCAGCCCCACCCTTTCTAATGACAATGACAGCTCAACAAAGCTGGTATTTATTTGGCTCTGAGTCTTGACCTTGTATTCCCAGGAAATTGCTCCATGCCTGAGCCCACCTGCTCTGACTTGGATGAAGGTGAAATACATCCTACAAGCCAGTTTGCATTTGGCCTGTCACAGCTGTGTCCTGTCCCGGGCCTGGCGGGGTCCCTCAAGTGACCAGGATTAGCAGGTCCTCAGCCCCCTCCTAGCTCCCTCTCCCTTGGCTTCAAGCCCAGACGCAGAAGCCTATCTGGATCTCAGTGGGTTATGGGAGCCCACCTGCCAGCAGAGCCTGCCAGGTCCAGCAGAGCCATCCACTGGCCCAGACAGTCCCTTTTCGAGGAAGAATCATCAGTGTCACTCCTGGGAGGCTCTTGGAACCCAAGATGACAGGAAGAAGATCAGCTCTGACTTTGTGAAGCCTCCTGCCCCTGAGAATGTGCCTCTTTCCAGATCTCTTCTCTTGAAAGGAGGCCCTCCCCAGTATGTTGGCATGGGCTCCTTTCCAGAACTCCTTGTTTTTTCTAATAGTCATTGCCAAGAAGCAGGGAGTGAGGGAAAAGAAAAGATAGTGTTATCCAGTGTGGGAGGGATGGGTTAGACCTAAGGACCCATCCTTGGATAGACACAGTCTGGATTCAGTGCCACACTTCTGAATAGTGATGAAAAGAACTATGGTTCATAGTGTGCAGAAAATCCTTGCTTATGCCTGAAGCAGTCTTGAACTGTGACCCTGTCAGTGTAGTCTGGGTCCCCAGAGCTCCTCCATGGACCTTCCTCTCTTCACAACCCCACGAATGACAGGGTGGCTGGGACCAATCCACTCTCAGAAAGTCTCCCTCCTCTTGGGCAGCCTTAGCCAGCCAGGCAGTCAGGGTAACTGCCACCCAGGAAAGTGCACAGTGAGCAGCTCACCCCATAAGTCATTGCTGATCATCCTCTTAACGAAAGACAACTTGTTTCTAAAATGTGAGTCCTTCCTCACTTCTCCTTAGCATGTCCTAGCCTTGTTTGATTTATTTTTTAACTTATACCCAAAGGCTACTTAATGCTGACCTGCTAAGTTAGTGGTCATTAGGGTCAGTGACACAAGGTCTAGGTAGTGATGAGGAATTGTTAGTGTCCTCTTCTGTGCAGCTAATTCTGCAGCCTCTGCAGTGGTTACATTAATGGACATGGAAACACCAGGCTGTTGAATGAAGTACAGTGAGACTGATCACAATCAATCAGGGTCATTGTTGCAGTGTCTCAAGAACTAGGTGACATCTTCCTTATGAAGAATTAGATTAGAAGGAGAGTGGATTAGCTATGACACATAACTTTGGCTTCTCCTGCTTTCTCTACACTCTAGCACACTCCCCACCTTTTCTTTCCTAAACGCTCCTCAACCTTCGTGAATGTAAGTATTCTAAACGGTGCTACCTAACAACTAAGAGAAGACAATAATACTCCATTCATCTTCTCTTTGGGAAACCAATTGCTCAGTATAATTTGGCTACTTAGAAAAGAGGACACTCTCAGGGCTGGGGATTTAGCTCAGCGGCATAAGCACCTGCCTTGCAAGCAGGCAGTCGTGAGTTCGATCCCTGGTACCGATAAAAAAAAAAAAAAGAAAGAAAAGAAAAGAGGACATTCTCTGGGCATCTTCTTACTAACACCTAAGATTTGTGTTCAATTAATCATTTCTTGGAAAGATGGCTAAAAGAAAGCCAAGGCAAGACTCTAGCCTAGGACCCAGGGCAGAGCCTGGCCTCTTAGAGAAGTATATGGCCCAACATGGCAGTGGACAGAGGTGAGTCAGGCCACTTGGCTGCTGCATGAACCCAGAGAGTTCTTGGGGTTCCCCTGTACCTGCTGCCTCTTTTAAGTTCTATGATCTCCTGCAGGGAACAAGTATGAATTCACTATCAGGTGCTGCTCAGGTTGGGTTTGGATCCTTAAAGATGGAAAACAGTGATGGGATCAGTTGTCAGTAGATAGTAGCAGAAGAGAAATTATAAACTGACCTTGGTTTTTCTGTACTGGGCATTACTTTCAGTATTTAGGTGGAACAACCTATCAGTACTTCTATGAGACTGTGGTGTCCGTCACTGGACCTAGAATCCTGACTTTAAAAGCACTTGTCTTTTCCACCCCCTTTATATAAGAAACCATCTGCCAAGAGAATCCCCTGCTCTACCTTCCTCCAGGCTACATACATGCATGTGCACCTGTCTATAGGCATTCCTGCAGAGGACAAGGGAACAATTAGAAAACATGGCTTTTCCCTTTTCAGAGGCCCCAGTTGTGATAGCAATGAGTGAAGTGTCTCCCATGATCTCCTGGTTAAGAGCAGGCCTCTGATAATAGAAAGTTTTATGTCACTGTGACAAAATACCTGAGATAGTCAACTTAAAGAAGGAAGGATTTAATTTAGTTCAAATTTTGAGAGGTTTCAGTCCACAACTGCTTCGTCCTGTGGCCTTAGGCTTGTGGTTGCACATTGCACCATGTTGGCAGCATGTGGTACAGAAGTCTGTTCACTTCATGGCAGGAAGGACGCAAAGAGAAAACTAAGAAGGGACCTGAGTTTCAATGTCTTCCTCAACGACACTACTAACAATCTAACTTCCTTTTACTAGGTCCCATTTCCTAAATGGTCCACCACCTCCTGATAGTGCCACTTGGGTCTTTAGGGTGCATTCAAGGTCAAAACTACAGCTAGGCCCTCTTGGGAAGGTCCCTCTCCCACCATCTATTCTTTTTCAGTGTCCTTGTGTTACAAACACAGATTCCTCAGTGGTGCACCTTAAGCAAAAGCCATAGCCACTATGAAGTGTTTAGGATTCGGGGAAATCTGTGGGGAGAAGAGGGAAGTAAGTTTTGATATCCACTCCCAGTAGGCCTCTGCTGGCGGGCCAGGGGAGGTGGACCAGCAATGACCCCTCTAGCGTGGATGCTCACCCAGTCCAACCTCACAGACAACCTCATTTCCATGGCTAAATTTGTTTGCCTTGCCAGCAGCACTGGGAGCTAATATTTGAATCTCTGTATTTAGGAATTAATTTCTACTGAACTTAATCACTACCTCTCTCCTTCTCCCTCATCCCCTTCCTTTCTCCATTCCTCTCCCGTCTAATTTTCCACTTGGCTGGGAATTCTCCAGCAGTGAAAGTTCAGGCTTAGGGGAGGGCGGAGGTGGCTGCTTCATTAGAGAGGATAATCTCATTGGAACCACTGACTTGAATAATAACCCCTTCCAGGGACCCTGAGTCTTTCTCCCCAAGGGCTGTTAGCTGGTTTCCCTCTGATCTGGGCCTGAGGGACAGCTGTACAGAGGAAGGAGAGTGAGAGAGGGAGGAAAGAAGAGCCCAACAGCAAAGGTCTCTAACTTTGGGGAGCTGGTGTATCTCCTTGAGACCTGCTTCCTTCCTGCTGGCCACCAGGAGATCTGTGTCTGGGGGCAAGAGTGACAATGATGGTGGCAGGGATAATTGTCTGGAAAACTGGAAGTCACAGAGCAAGCATTTTCTCTGTCCATGTAAGCTCCAGTTTTCCTTCTTGGCAACCAGGTGAAGCATGATCTCCTTTCTTCCTTAAGTGCCCTTGCTATAGAGATGCGGGGAGTTGAGTACATGCTTTTAAAAGAACCTGGAGCCCTTTTGGAAGAAACATCTCAGGATCCCCTCCATGAGTCACTGAATTAACCCTTTGAACGTTTCCTGGCTCTGGCCTGGTCAAATGGGAAATCACAGAAATCATAGTCCTGAAAGAGCAAAAGGCCATTATGTTGACAGACCCCATAGACTTCAGAGGGAATGCCTTCTATCCCTCCATTATCCTATCGCATTTAAGGTCAATTGTCTGTGCTTTTGGACATTTGCAATCTCCACCCTCCTGGGCCCTGAAGGGTAGCAGAAATGTCAAAATATCCACAGCTCTGACCTTAAACTTGACTTTACAATTAGATAGCTGAGTCCTCGATACCATTTGACAGCTACTAAGAAAACAGCTACAACCTATACTTCTTTCTGTGTCTTCTCCCTCCTGGCCACTGAGTTGCCCTCCTCCCTTGTGAGAATTGCTGCATCCTCCCTTAGTTCCTTTGATTTGCCCCCAGGATCTGATCTACAAGAAGACTGATGCTTCTGTATCAGTTATAGTTTAGAGGAGTAAATGAGTTAATAATATGAGCTAATATTTATTGAGGGGTTATTTTGAGATATATTCTGTTCTAAATGCTATACTCACATAGTATTTAATCCACATAAAAATCATGTTAGATACTACTACTGTTTTATCCCTGTTTTATAGATGAGAACATGGGTGAACCAAGAGGCTGAGTAGTTGGTTGGCCTAACATTACACTTAGACGGAATGTTGAAAGTTGTAAATTATACATGGTTTCTGTACATTTGGGGACAAGATGATGATTAATTAGTTTGAGTCTCTCCAAAGCATTGGCAGGATGCAACCCAATGAACTTAAGAAGTAGCACATAATGCAAATCAAACTTGTCCTGAGACGGCTTTGTTTCCTTTTATCCTGCAAGAAGACTCCTCTCTTCTGTCTGAATCTCTATTTGGTACCTCCATGTGATATTTGGCTTGGTAGCAGCTCCATTTTTCTCTCTCTATAATTTAATCAAAGACATTTTTTAGACCTACTGATTGCTCTTAGAAACAGGAACTTCAAAGTTGGGGAGTCAGTGAATAATTCAAGCCCACACCAGCTCTCTGGGTCTGCCGTTAATGGGAGTAATAACACTATTAATAGCCATGTCAGTGCCGACACTCTGGAAAAGTCCATAACATTAGCTTAATGGCTGAAGGTAATGGAGTCCTCGCAGAGTAGCTGGCCTGGTAAATTAACTCCCAAGACTTTGAGGCAGACACTTTCCTTGGGTCTGCTAGAACAGCCAGGGAGTGCCACGGGATAACCAGACTCATATCTGACCTTTCCCTTGAGGGTTGAGGTCTCTGGGAGGCAACCTGGAGGGTTTGGCTTTGTTCTGCAAGTTGTAGTGATTTTCAAGGTGCTTTCCAGGGGACAGCAGAAAAAGCCATTAGCCAAGAGAAAAGGATGGAGAGGAGATGTTTAAATTGCCCTAAGGACACAATAGGAAAATTAAGATGGCTAAGAAAATGGGTTTAGTCTGCAGCAAGAGGATCTACCTTTCACTTTAAAGTCTACATGCTTCAGGGCTCATACACAGTAGGAGGAAACAGAGACTCTGCATTCCTCTGTGTCTGATTGGCCAGTGACCTAGGAAGGTTACTTCATCATCATCCTCTTCTGCAGTTTATTGACCTCTAAAGAAGGTTTGTTGAGGCATTGTCACCAGATTGAAGTGGCATAGAATATAAAGCCCTAATCACAGTGCCTTGTAAACATTCACAACTAGTGGCCACCATTACATTGCTCAGGATTGCTTTTTTACTGTTGCAGTACACACCACCCAGTCTACTCTCAGTCTCTGTCTCCTTTGCACCTCATCCTTAGTAGGGCAGGTTAAGTAAATTGGTTTCCCTTTTGGTAGTCAAATTCTCCTCTCAGCAGGGCTTTGCATTGTCCCCCCTACTATAGCAAGAATGCCTTCTTTCCTGTGGCCGAGAGGATAGACAGCCCACAGTTTCCTCTGGCTCTGACGGATTTCCAAGAGTCACTCAAAGTGTCCAGGGAGTTTTTTCCCTCATCTCTTCGGCCCACACTGTGCCTATCTACCTCTTGAGACAGATGTGCCCTCTGCTTACACATCCCCCTTGTGGATCTTACCATTGACTGCCCTGTTTTCTAATAAACACCTGTCAGGACTTCCTCCTGTCTCACAACAGCTCCTCATACTTCCCTTGACCAAAGGAGATGCTCAGGAGTGATTTCTCCACAGTTCTACCTCATCTAAGTTAGTCCCTCTTCCTGTCCACAGCAGACTCACGAGTCCAGACTTCCCCCAGACACTATGTAAGGCTCTGTCTTCACAAGGCTTGTCTGACTCACATTAAATACCATCCCCTGAAACCCAGATCCCTCCATGCAGTGAACTCTTGGGATCTGTGCATTTGAGTAAAGTTCATTTTTTCATATGTATCTTTTATAAGCCCTCATCAGTGAGAACTGTAAGATCCCAGGTCATACTGGAATGGTACATTTTGTACTACACAGAGCACTAAACAATGATAAACCTGTACAGCAGTTCCCCTGTGGCATACAACTGGGATTCCCATGAGGAGTATGGTCTAACTGCCACTCCCACTCCTTTGATCCTTCCTGCCCTCTCTCCTGCCCACTCACATTTATCTTCTGTCTGCTAGGGAAGGTGAGGAAGTCCAAACAGAAAAGCTGAACTGACTTGTGCAAAGGCAAGGAAGAAGTCTGGGAGATAGAATCTGATTGAAATATTTGGTGTGTGTTTAAATTTTAAAAATATTACAGTAAAAAACAGGTTGCCCTAAATTTCCCTCAAAATGCTTTGACTCATTTCAAACATGTTTATCCCATCATTCTTGCCACTTTCTAAAGCAGTTCTGGAAGTCCTTTTTCATGAGTCTACATAGCTGAGCTCCATGGCTGCCTCGATGTCATGAATTGATTCAAAATATTTACCTTTCATGGTCACTTTGATTTTCCGGAAGAGATAGCAGTCACATAGTGCCAGGTCTGGTGAATAAATGGGTAAAGATGACTGTAATATTTTTACAAGCTTGATTTTCTGTTGGATGGCACTTGGCAACAGCATTAATTGTACTTTTTTTTTGTTTTACCGCATAGAGGCACAAAAGAGTTCATTTCAATTTGCTGAAGAGGGGAGGAGGATGGCAACAAGCTAAGGATGGGTGTTGAGGTAGAATACACGGGACTGGCCAACTCCTGATCTGAATTTCAAGGTCAGGAGTGGAGTTTAGGATGACTCTCCAATATTTTGCATTGCAGGAATGATGAGAGCAATGGCCATCTTTTCCAAATTGGGTATGGAGGAGGAGGAGGATTTGAGGAAGGAAACAAAATGGTTAGGTCCAGGCATGTTGACTTTGGACACATCCTGAGAGCTGCTGGAATTGCCTGACCTCTGGACCAAGTGGTTTTTCCCTAAGTAACCCATCAGTATGTCCCTTCCCAGGTGTACCCGGAAGGAACGGTGCGAGCGATCCAGGGAATCCCGCAGGTTCGCCTCAGAGATGAAGCAGTGTGTCCGGCTAACAGTTCATCCCAACAACATCTCTGTCTCTCAGTACAACGTACTGGTGAGTGGGGCAGGATCCAAGAGGAAGAACTCTTTCCACCAAAAGGCATGAGTCCAAGACTCCTCAGGAGTGCTGGACCACGTTTAACAGGAAGAGCAGCTCTAAAATAGGGCAGGAGATGTTACCTATAGCTGTGCAGTGGGGACCCAAGAGAGGGACCTGGACAAGAATATGAATGAAGAGGCTCTACTCATAATGAGCAGAAAGATAAGGCAAATGATCCTACCAAAAATGGTCAAAAGAATGGCAAAGGGTATTAGGGGTGATATCTTTATCAAAAAAAGGAGGGGCAATGCATGTACAGATGGAGAAAGGTATGCAGATGCCTTCAAAATTCTAGCACTGGGCATTTAGTGATGAGTGATGTGGTTTTTCCCAAATTGGAACTAATGGATGAGATCCTCCACTGTGGTCTCTCCCCACACAAATTCCTGAAACATCCCCATTTGCTGTGGCCAAATGCACTCAGATTCTATTTTTGTCTCTTTCTATGCCACCACATCCTCCACACTGCTCTCGTAACAAAACTGAACTCTCCTTCTCTTAGGTTAATGTGGCCTCTCCTTTGTCTACCTCTTTTTCTTGCACTTCTTCTTCCTTTGTTCCATCTCTTTTCTTTCTCCATTTGGTACTCCTCCTCTTTCTTTCCTGTCTGGCTGTTCACAGCTGGTCCTGGAGACATACAATGTCCCAGAGCTGTCAGCGGGTGTCAACTGTACCTTTGAGGACCTGTCAGAGATGGATGGGCTGGTGGTAGGCAATCAGATCCACTGCTACTCTCCAGCAGCCAAAGAGGTGCCCCGGATCATCACAGAAAATGGTGAGTACATCCCTCCCCAGAGGCAAAGCTGGGGAGCAGGCTCTCCTTCTTTCTGTCTGGGTAGAAGAACTCATCACAGATATGTGGGGGCTGAGGAACCTATGGACAGGGGTGGTTCAAAGGAAGAAGTGAGTTGGTGACTATGTTATACACAGGAAGAGGGGCGATGAAGTTTTCCTGCTTTGCCCTTGAAATTTGCTGTTAGAAGCCTTCTATGTCAGCCCCAAATTAGCATACAAATATCTACCGCATGCCAGGCAAGGAGCCGCTGCAGACAAGGTTGATGGAGGCTGGGACAGCAGCCTACTATCAAGGCCCAAAGCGGGCCTTGAAAGAAGGAAGGCAGTCAGGAGCCGTGATGGGAGGATGAGGGGCAACTGGCCCTGCAGCCCTCTGTTACATAGCTGGGCCTCTGACCTGGATCTGCCCCATCTCCCCTCCCCGCTTCTCACAGAGGCCTGTTGTTTGTGTCCAGGTACCCTCGGAGAGATGGGACTGGACAGAGGCTCAGCTCTGGCAAGGCACTGGCCAGCCTAGGCTGATTGATTCCATATTGTCCCTCCCATTTTGGCTGTCACATTTATTTGAAGCTGATTGATTAATGAGACTCTCCAGGAAGGCAGAGAACAAGGCCAGAAGTGGGGGTCTAGGGTCAGAGCTGTGAATTAAACATGGGCTCTAACTCCAGCTTGGTGCCATCTGAGGTTTCCTGTGCTTCTTGTCCCATGGAGCCCTGGGTTCCCCTGAGGCGTTGACATCAGAACTGCTCTTTACAAAGATGGGAAATGAGCCCCTGTGGTAGGCACACTTGTACGTATGCACAGAATCACTGTGTAGCTGTGGCAGCAGTCCTGTGAGGTGAAGCATTGTTTTTTACTGGCTGCTCATCTGTGTGTGTGTTTGTGTGTGTGTGTGTGTGTGTGTGTGTGTGTGTGTGTGTGTTTGTGTAAGAGAGACAGAGAGAAAGAGAGAGAGAGAGGAGAGAGAGACAGAGAGAGAGAGAGAGAGAGAGAGAGAGAGAGAGAGAGAGAGATTCTGTGAGGCTGGCAAGGATTTGGCACATGTGATGCACTTTTGAATACCTGCCTCTCTGTGTGTACATAGTATGTGTTTAGGGGGTGGGGTTGTGACCAGCACTTGAGACCAATAAGTGCTAAAGTGTTGAAGGGAGAATACAGTTGAACAGCATTCTATTTGTGCTTTCGGGGTGGCCCCCAGGCTGGGCCTTGCTGAATCAGAGAGCTGTAAGAGCTGATGACACACCAGGGGGCAGGCTCCCCTTTCCCAGCATGCATGCATGCCAGTGGGGCCTTAATCTCTTGGCTTGCTCTACTTTGCAGGGGATCACCATGTTGTACAGCTGCAACTCAAATCCAAAGAGACAGGAATGACCTTTGCTAGCACCAGCTTTATCTTCTACAACTGCAGTGTCCATAATTCGTAAGTGTATCAGCCTCACTCAGATCCCTATTCCTGGGCTCAAGTTTGTGCAGATGAGAACACCCCACCACAGTTCCATGGAGTCATCATAGAGGTTTTATTTGCCTCAGAAGGAGATGGGCCTTTTTCCTCTAGTACTTGCAGGGTTAATGAACACTAGAGGGAACACGAGTGTGAACTGTGGGGTGAGGTCTCCATGCATCTTGTGCTCACACATCTTCCCTAGCATAGATCTGTCTAACTTGATTGTGTTCCACCATCTGCTGGAGAAGTGCCTCATCCAAAGCACAGAACAGCTAGTACTGTGATTAGAGGAGGGCCGTAAGGAAGAAGAAAAGCCCCCATGTGTGTCCAGGGAGGGCTGAATGCTCGCCTTCCACAGAGCCCTAAGGCCAGATCAGAACACAGGCTGGTGAGGGCCAGAGGGAGCCATAAGTGTGCAGGGAAGGTCAGGAAGTCTGTCTCTGGCTCTGAATTTGTTTCAATTAAGCATTTTCTTCCCAATAGCAGGCATGTAGGGCAGAGGGTCAGGCTGTGGAGTTGCTCTAGCTAGGAAACAATCATTCTGTGCTCTGCTATCCTCTATAAAGAAGCAATGAAGATACTCCTTCCAACCTAGCACTCAGAGATTTAGCAACTGACATTGCCGGACACTGTCCCATCAGAGCAACCATGAGCTAGGACACTATGCTGGTTGATACCTCTGAATGGCGACTACTTCTCTTGCTAGAAGCTATGAAAGATGAGAGAGCCAGGACACAGGACATCATTTAGAGCCCTGCCTGACCCATAAGTCAAGCACTGCTTATCTTTTGCTCTGATTACATTAATATTTCCTCTATAAATTGAAGGATGGACTACACTGTTGATATGCAAGGTTTTTTATTTTTCAGCGTACAAACCTTTTTTTCAACTGAAATTTGGTATGGAAGGCCAACAAACAAAACAGATGAAAGTAGAAACTACTTGGTGAAGGGTTGAGGATACTTGAAGCTCTTCCACACAACTCTGCACATTCTCTAAAGGAGCTCCATAAAACCCCCAAGGTCTCATAGAACACAGTTTGCGAACCACAAAGCATGACTTCTTCGTGCCTTTCTTGATTTAACATGCTGTTCTGTGTTCCACTCCATGTAGGACAGGTAACTGGTGGAATATTAGGGCTTTCAATCTAGCTAGGGTAGCTCTGAGCTCTTAGGGCTCTCTGGGGCCCCATGGAGGGAGGTACCCAGCACTTCCAGGCAGAAATTTGCTTCAATACCAGAGATCCCTTTCTGGCTTCTTTGCATGGAGCTGCCTGGAACTTTACTTCTTGGTTGCCTAAACTTTCCACCCATTCTTACCCCTACGAGAGCAGAGCTGGTAGGTGAAACCATGTGTGAAGTTTCTGTTCTATCCACTAAATGATTTTAAGCATTGCTATATGCAAAGTAATCTATTGTTGATTAGATACAATGGGATCAAAATTAATAAAACTCTTGGACTCAATGCCTGCCCTCCAGGAGTATATAGCTTAGAGGACTCAGGAGATTTGGACAGCTAATAATGAAGTATAATACAAGATGCCAGGATTGTCCCAGAGACATCAGCACTGAGATTCATGGGAGAAGGACCCAAACAGCTAATTATCCCTTGGCCAAGTTGTTGGTGACTGTCTTGTGTTTGAGAGTGGTTTATTTGAATATTGATATTTTGGTGGACTCAAGGAATTTAGGCTCGGTACTTGAGGTTCGCCCAGTTCTATGATCTGTGCCTCTCCTCTCCTGTGCCCAGGTGCCTTTCCTGTGTGGAGAGCCCATACCGCTGTCACTGGTGTAAATACCGGCATGTATGCACCCACGACCCCAAGACATGCTCCTTCCAGGAGGGCCGTGTGAAGCTACCTGCGGTAGGTCCCCAATGTGTGGATAATGGTGCCCCTTGCCATGAATTTAGGGCACAAAGACAGGCATTCTTTCAAGAGAAGAAGCCAAAGGAAACCCCAGGCCCACGCCTTCCTCCCCAGTCGGACTCTGAGGGCTTTTCATGGAAGCAGTTAAGAGGCTAAACACTCCACTGGTCCATGAGTTCTGGGGCAGCCCTGGTGGTCCAGCTATAGATAATCAGGCAACTGGGCCACTCAGCCAAGAGAAGCTTCTTCATACCAGGTAAGTTCTAGAACAATTCCAAGGAGATGGAAAAAGTATCTCAGAAATAATTATAGGTAAACAACAGAACTATATGCAGGCTCCTCTTCTGTCACTCAGAACAATGGTTACAGAGATGAATGGAGACCAAAAAGGCAAGTTAGTAAAGAAAACAGAGATATAAATAAATGGTAGACATATTAACCAAAGCAGCAGCTCTCAGAATGTGGGTCCCAAAACAACAGCATCCCTGCTGCCTGAATAAAGGTGCCTGCTCCAGCCAACCAAGCATGCAGGAAGAGCTTGACCAGTGTAGGCTTCACAAGCTCTCCTGGAGAAGTGATGCTCAGTCCCTTGTTCCCTACCTGCAAATCCTCAAAGGTGAGGTAGATTCCATGGTTAACTCTCCATTCTTATTCTTCTCCTTGAAACTCTTCATCACTGAAATACAAATGCATTCTGCCGAAGCTGTGACCTCTGTTAGAATATTAGTGTGTGCAAAGATCTTAAAGTCACTCCCTGGGCAGAAGTACATTTTGGAAAATCAGTTGTCCATCCATTGTGATATTTCTTGTGAGTTTGTGTGGCTCTTACTGCTGCTTGAGTTGTAAGTTATTCTGCACAAAGAGGTGCTTTAGAATGCTGTTGTTTGGAATAGAGAGATAGATATTGAAAACATAATTATGAATATATGCAGCATTGTTTGGATTCCAGTGAATTCTCTGGCACTATCATGCAGCTTTCCCAACTTGAAGAGCTACAGCCAGCCTTACTTTCACCCTATCAGCCAACTTCAGACTCAAACAGGCCTAGTACTTTACCCCCTTACCCCAAGTCCTGGATGTACCCTCCAGTCCCTTCATACACTTACACAGGCGGTACAAGCAGGGGACTGTCCTGATGCAGAGATCTGGAGATGGGGAGGGCAAGAAGAGAATAGAGGGGCACATCAGAACCCTCTTCCCCTCACCTAGACTTATACCCCACTAGGAGCTCCAACATTGGCCAAATGCTGAATGACAAAAGGGAGGCTATTGTGTGTCAGAGGCTGGAAGAAGAGATGGATCCATATCCATCCCTACACCTGTTGTGCTGAGCTCCCCTGCTGGAGGGAACAGGAAAGCTATGTGTAGCTCACAGAAACTCTAAGCCTAAGCCCCATTTGGTCTGGGGCTGGATGGCTATGGAATCTCATGTGGTGACAAAGCAGAGATTTTTAGAAGGAGGGGGTGGTAAGGGCATCAGAGGGAAAGAATGATACTGATTGAGTGGGGAAGGAAGGAAGCAATCAAAAAAGAAAAAAAAATCTGAAAACCTCCAAGACAATTAAATAACTCAAGACCTTTGAAATCTAATAGATAGTGCAATGGAATTTTATTTCTTTATTTTTTTCCTTTGGGCCTTTGCGTGCACAAACCCTTGCCTTATCCAGCAGTCTGAAAAACTGGAGAAGGAGTAAAAGCCACTTTGTCTTGATTTCTAGCAAGATACTGGCAGGTTTCAGATAAAAACAAGAAGAGATTATAGAAACCATAGACATAAGACGCTCTTTCTCTGCAAGAAGTCTGCCTGGCTAGGATTGGCTGCTTTGATTCATAATCAGGAAAAGGAAAGAAAGCAGTTGCAACTTGGCTCTAGCAGGAATGAGTCTCCTGTGTATGCGTCACCTCTGTGCTTTTCTCTAAAAAAGACAAAACGGATATAAAGGTAACAGGAGAGATATGAGTCAGACAGCCAGTGAGCATAGGTTTGGCATGAGAACTGGTAAAAGGCTACGTGATCTGATTAACCCAGTCAGATCTTTATGCTGGCACAGGAGCAAAAGGGGAAATATACCCCCCTCTACCCAAGACCAGGTAACAGAGTCCAAGGAAGCATCCTGTCTGGTTTGCTTCTGACATCTGCAAATAACCTGATAGGAATCAAGACAAAGTGACTTCCAGCCTCTCTCCAGCTTTTCCAATGGGCATGTCTGCCAGAAGTTCGATATGTAGAGAGGCCAAAGACTAAAATGAAAACAGAACAATTGAGCAGTCTGATGGATTTCAAAGGCCTCTAATTATTTAATTACCTGAAGTAGGTTTGCAATTTCTGCTCTTTCTTTTATTTGCTCCATTCATCCCAATCGTCTTTCTTTTAAATGTAAAAAAGGAGCCTGCATCTGCTATTCAGAAAAAGAACAAGAACAAAAACAAGAGCCTACCATGCTTCCAAGTGAAATGCAGGGGTCTCTGTGGCAGAATGGCATCTTCAGGTACCCAGACTAGGAGCTAAACATAAGACTTCTTCAATATCTGGCATAGGCAAAATCTGCTGGGGGCAGGGGCAGACACAGCCTTGCAGAGGATTTGGTGCCAGGGCCCCCATATTAGTTTTCATCTTTACTGTGACCAAACATTTGACATACACGACTTACATATACAAATACCAAATACCTGATGTATACAACTGAAAGGAAGAAATATTTCTTTTGGCTCAGTTTCAGTTCATGGCCAGCTGGTGCCAAGAAAGAAAGCTCTTGATATAAGAGCATAATAGTAAGCTGCTTCAGCCATGGCAACCAGGAAGCAGAGAGCAGGGGAAGAGCCAAAAAGGAAGAGTCCTCAAGGTCACACTCACATCATCTACTCGGATACACCCTTTATTAATTTAGGCATCTCTCAAGTCAATCAGGTTGACAATCAAGAGCAACCATCACAGCACCTAAGAAGGAACAGGCCTGGAGCAATATGGCCAATAGAATGCACTGGAGAGGGACCCATCTACCACTGCTGCCTTTCAATTCTTTCCATTTCCCAAGAGTATCATTATAGTAACCTCAAAGGCCAATAAAAAGAGGCTTCCAAGTAACTCGGCATTGCCCATGTCTCACTTATCATATGTTGTTGGAATGAATGTGTCTCCTCTTTATCTTGGGTGTTTGTTTATTCTATAAGAGGGAAGTCCTAAGGAATTTTTCTGGTCCAAACTTGGAGGTTGCACTCTGCCTAGCTCAGTCCTAGGGCCATTTTGAATATGAAAATGGTGAAGGCAAAATTGACCACGTGAGGTGGCTATTGTAGCATCAACTTCCTGATGAATGTACCAAAGGGGAAATAAGTAAGTTAAATCTTTGGGAAATGTTGATTAACACTAGTCATTTTGGATTTGTGGAAGGAGGTGGTTATCTTCAGAACTCAAAACAAAAATCTATGGCTACTAATGGAAAACAGCATTTTCTTCCTATTGGATTTTTTTGTTTTGTGCTCTTTATTTCCTGGCAGAGGCAGTATCAGGAGGATAGAAAAACAAAGGCTAATAAAAAAAAACTGATGAAAAAACAAATAAAAATGCACAATTGAAAACTGAGTGTATGGAAACCTTCAGACACAAATATCTTCTCTTAATTCCAAGGGAAGAACTTATTCACAGCATTATGCTCTCAAGTTTTACTATTATGTTGATCAAGTTGCTGCTACTGTAATAAATTCCTGGGATAAATCAACCTAAACAGAAGCAAGGTTTATTTTGGCTCACCGTTTTGGAGTTTCAGTCCATGGTCAGGTGGCCCCCACCCCATCTCTTGTGGGCTGATAGAAAGGAAGCACATCATGGTGATAAACATGTGATAGAGCAAACTGTTCACTGCATGGCATCCAGGAAGTAAAAAAGAGAAGAGACCCTGGTCCCACAGCTCCCTTCAAACGCAACTCCCTAATGACCTACGACTACCCATAATGTTCACCTCTTAAGGTTTCCGCCATTATTTTCCAATAGCCTCACACTGGGAAGCAGCCCTTAACACATGTGCCTTTGGGCGCCATGCAGATCCAGGGTACATCAGGTCTGATATAACTGTTCATCCTTCATTACCCCAAGCATTCTCCATAAGCAAGCTGCTATGAAAGTTTAAAAGATGTGTGAAAGACCTGTATTTAAAGATTCATAAAACAAGGTTATGCATCCACATGCTTTCTGACATTCTGTAATTGTAAATAGAAGCAAACTGGAAAACACCTCAGAGAAATCCACAGCCAAGATATGTTCTTATTGAAAGAGAATGACCTCAAGGCTAGGCGCTATCAGTTGTATCTAACAGGATGCCTATTAGTGTCAGGGCCAGCAGCTCCTCTGGACCTCAGGCCCAGCTCTATTCTCTTGGAATACAGGCAAAGCACAGGCCTCAGTGACTTTTCTGGAAGTCCCAAGGGTCTCCTTTTCCTTTACTCTATGAGGAGAGATGCTGATAGAGTCCTTTGGTTAACCAGAAGTTAGGTTGCCAGATGGTTTTTCACCTGCCCAGAACCATCTTGTATCCTTCAGAATGCTTTCAACTGTGTCTTCCAGTTTCAACACTGGCTTTGTTGACTGTCACCAGGAATGTTGAATTACCTCTTCTTTTTTTCCTGAACAAAGAGCACATTCAAGCAAAGTTATTGGTCTGGAACGAAGAACTGGTAGATGATTGTGCTGTTATAGAAGGAGCAAATATTCCAGCATAATTACAATTATTAGAAACAGAATGCCCAGTAACATATGTCCATTATGGTAACTATATTCCTGTTACAAAGGCATGATTTTGTTTCAGCGAATGACAGAATTGTGATAACAACTCTAGACACTCAGATCAGCTGCCAGAGCCTGAGCACCACAAAGAAAAGGAAAAAGAGAAATGAGTAGAAGCAAACTGAGGTGACAGTGACTGTTGTCCTCAGTCCTATTCTCCCTGTATGCCCAGAGACTTTGTACCATCCCCCAGAATGGCCTTTTGCTAGGTTGGCAT